AATGTCATGCAGAGTATGCAACATGCATACACCATCCCAAGACCACAGGTGTTTCACGTTGAAAAAGTACTTAAACTTAATTACAAACTTCAAAAAATGACATTGTCACAAAATTTTAAATATGAAATCGATGCATTTTATTACTCGTGTAATCTTTCATTCGAATAAAAAATAGTGTTCGATGCGAGGGCGAAAATTTGTTTTTCGAAAAACGACATTTTTCGCCCTTGTATCGAAAACTACTATTACTGTGGCATTCGGTCTCATCCGTCCGTATCTGGGTTGCAATAAGCAACATGTATTCAACTCTTGTGTCCAACTGGCTGCAGTTTCCTCCTCTCCTCCTTGCTTCTGGTTGACTCAGCGCTATTGTTGCTCTACGGGTGTTGTCACAATACAAAACATGACATTGGTCTTCAAGCATTATGAGCACATTTGCAACACCGTCAACGAAACGTTTCCGCCGAAGAAGCCAAAAGAGTCGCTCTGCTACAAGCTGAAGAAATTCTGGTTCTCCTTAACTCTGGCCTCCACGAAAAACCGCTTGACGTTGGAGCGATTCTGCAGTGAATGGGAGATTCGAACTGAGCAGAAGCGGCAGTATTATTCGGCCAACTACTTCATCATCCACCCCATGAGTAAGCTGGCGGCGATTTACGACGTCTACCTTTGCCTGCTTTACTTCGCCGCTGTTTTCTTCAAGCTGATGGACGTGGCGTTCTTGAAAAGAAGCTTCATGTCCACCAGGTACTGCAACTTGGTGAATGCTATCAATATCATAGATGTGCTCTCCTGGTGCAACCTGGTGTGCTGCTTCTTTCAAGGAGTGATCACACGCAAAAAGAGCACACTGATTGACTTCAAAGGGATCGCTTTGTACCGGCTGAAGTCGCTCTACTTTTGGGCGGAACTTCTCGCCTCGATCCCAAAGTGCTTGATCTGCTCTAGAAGCGAACGCTGCTCGAAGTCAGTTTGGCTGCTGCTGACTTTCATGCGCTTGTTTATCATTTGCTTGTGCCACAGACCCATTCAGCTGCTGAAGCAGACTTTGGGGTACTTGAAAATCGAATCTAGACCCGTTCTGATTATCGTGCATCTTTTCTATATGATGGCATTTGTCACTCACGTAATGACCTGCACAAGTTTTGCCATGTCCAGGTACCGAAATACATTTAGTAGGCCTTCTGGCAACTCCAGCTGGACTTTATATTGGAATCTCACCGAAAAGGATATTTCCCTTCAATATGGGATCGCGTTCTTAAAGACCTCCGCCCAGACATTCGGCATCACCATCAAGGAGTTGCAGGAAACGATGAGTTGGGTGGATGATATTATTTCCGCTTTGCAGTATGTCACCGGCAGATGTATTTTCATTATTATGTGGGTGGCAGTACTTCATGTTCTGCTGGCCAAAGATCTGCAAGAGACCCGATTCCAGGAGATCATATCGCAGCTGAAGAACTGGATGGAAAACAAGGACCTACCTAAGAATCTGCAAAAGCGCGTTGAAGAGTACTACAACTTCTACTATCGCAAACGGTTCTTCAGCAAAAGGCAAGTGCAGAAAGTGATCCCGGAAAGCCTAACTGCCAAAGTGAAGATCAACATGTACAAGACATTGAAGGAGAGCAACATAGCTCTGTTCAGCAAACTATCAGACGACGAGATTCAAATGATAGGGGAGCATTTCGTGACGGAAATCTACTCGCCGAATGACGTGATCATTTACTCGGGAACCAAAGGAGATTCCCTCTTCCTGTTGGCTTCAGGCACAGTTGCAGTTTACAGCCACTCAGGTAAAGAAGTGTGCCACCTGCAGGATGGTGCATATTTCGGAGAACTGTCCCTATTGGTCAGCAATCAGAAGATCACAGCTACAATCATTGCTATTGAAACCACCAAAGTCTACAGAATCGGGAAGATTTATTTCGAAAAATACATCCTGTCCAAGAAGGACCTGATGAACATGTTTCTGAGCCAGGCCGAGAAACGCTTGCAGGCCATTACGAAAGTCGAAGAGGACCAGAAAAGGGCTCTCTTTTCTGAAATGTACAAAACGAAGTGAATTTTATTTTTTTTATTTTTTCAATTTATTTAGGTACTCAGTTTGATTATCTTTTTACTCCAGGGTTATTTTTATATGTATGCATTTATTATTATTGTTATTTATTATAAACGTTTTTTTTTTATTAAAAAAATTTTCAGGTCATTCCAGATTTAACGAAGTTGCCATTAAGCAATTCTTTTCACGCAAAAATCGCATTATTATTTAGTTTTACATAAAATACTGACAATCTTCAGGTATTTTCTGTAAAAAATTATAAGATCAGATTTTATTGGAAAACTCGCCTCCTTAACCGCTTTGCAAAAATTATTTAATCAATATTGCTATCTCTGTTCATTGCTCTGCACGTAGCGACCGCCCTTTTTCCGGACAATCGAGAGAAGTGGAAAAGGACGGGCCAGGTTTGTCACTCGCGCTTACTGGCAGCCCAGACATTTTCGCAGGCTCGATCTTGACACCTTTGGCCTCGTTGAATGGCGCGCAGTTTGAAAATTTACATTTAACACTGTTTTTTTTATAAAACAAATTGAAGAAGCATATTTCAAAAAATTGCATTCAGTTTGCTAAACGGTATTGGAACGAGAGTTTTTAAACTTGGAGCTAATTTGTCTTCTTCAACACTTCAACACAAATGTGTTGATGATTTCAAATGGAAAAGAAAATTGAAGAAATATTTAAAACATTTTGGGGCAGCTCTTTATGACAGAAGTTCTTTTAAGGACCTAGCAAAGTTAACGAAGATTTAAAATAAATAATAAGTGTATGTGTTCAATTTAATTTTTATATACAGCTCGTCTTACGATTATATTTAGGAAATTCAATACAATTTTTTTAAATATGTTTCAATTTGTATTACAAAAATTCACGGCACTAAATGTAAATTTTCAAATTGGGCGCCATTGACCGGATCCTCGCATGCAAAAAGATCTGGGCTACCGCTAAAGGCAAGTCATTTCTTTAAGCTGGCAACGGTGCAATTTCAGGGCGTCCTTTCAGTGATACTTCACCCAACAAGTTTTTTAACATTTTTAAATTATTTACTTTGAAAATTTGGTTTCTTAAGTTGCATCTCTTAATCAAGGGAAAAATGAATGGAACTAATGTAGGGCTGAAGGGTGAAGTGGAGAAGTGGGTTTTGATCGGGGACTTTCCAACCGTTTGCAGATGTTGCCTATCGCAAGTAAATAGCAGAAATTTCTTCTGGCTGGAAAGTTATTATCTGGACAGGAAGTTTATTGATATATATTATAATGTGACCTCAATAATGGTATGCTAGTTATTTAACTCCCAGTATTTAACCTCACACTTTAGTCTACTTACCTTCATGCAAAAATATTGCCATAACAGGGCCACTTATTTAGTTAAACACAAACCCAAGCGTTAGCTATGCTTTCAACAAGCCACCCTCCAAAATACGTGAATGTTATTCGTTCCTTTTCCAGGGATCTCACACAGAGATAGTATACGTAATTAGAGACGATTTTCTAAAGAAAAAGACACAAGTCCGCCTCACAACCGCGCAAATAGCTGAAAAATTTGATGTCTTCTAGTTGCATGTTAATCTTGACACCATCGAGATCTCTTAATTGTAAAAGCTACCCAATTTTTTTCTATATATTATAGTCTTTCTGCAAACGTTCTAAACAGTTTATCAGATCTTCAATTTCAGATTGATACGGAAGATTGCTTACCAAAGAAAGTATGTACGGCCTGCTACAATGTGATTATCAAGTTCGACCAATTAAAAAATCAAGCTTTAGAATCGGAAAAGCAACTGGAGCATGCTATTGTTTCCGCATCTACTGAGACGTATGATGCCTCCGAGGATGAAACCATGAAGTCAGAAGAATTGGAAGCAGCGTGTGAAGAGTATGATAACCAGAACGCGTCTTCCGATTCCAATACCTACGATGTTCAAATATTGACCTCAATACCGATGAAATTAGGTAATATGGCCAATTTCTGACATAGCGAAGACGCTACTTTCTTTATTTCAAATACAGCAACATCTGAAAACACGCAACAGGAAACATATGGTGAGGGGCAAGAACAACAGGAGCAAAGTGAGAATGACGAAGATAGCGCAGAAAATGTTGATGATCCCCTGGAAAACAAGCAAAAGCGCAAACGAAAAATAGGTAGAAATATTGAGTTTAAGTCAGCACACAATGACTCACTGATCAACACAAGTCAACTATGAAAATTCGAAATATCTCAATTCAGACGAGTTGATTTGATTTTTTAGAACCTTGCGATAGATGTGGGAAACTAGTGCAAGAATCGAAAAAGGAAAATCATTTGAGAACGCATACCAAAGAAAGACCTTTCCAGTGCGATCAGTGTGAGAAATCCTTTTCTGATAAAAGTAACTTGAACAGACACGCAAAAACACATGGAGCGGATCGGCCTTATCAATGTAGTATTTGCTTAAAAGGTAAACGCGTTTAAAAACTCGATTCAAATCAATTCAACATGTAGTCCTGCACAAAAAGAGTTTACTTGCGTCTGATCAAAATAACACAACATATTCCATATTGTTCTTCTTACATAGCTGAATTGATTGTTATTTTCCAGGTTTTCTAAGAATGTCCAGCAAAGAATTGCACGTGAACACAGCGCATAAAACGGAGAAAAGTTTCTTCTGCCACAAATGCGGAAAAGCATTTAAGCATCAATGTTTCTTGAACAAACATTTGAAGTATCATAATAAGCGGAAGGATGAGGACAAGGATGACACGGCAAGTATTTGTTTCTATTATTGTATAAAAATAAGGCTAAATAATGTTTCTTTGAAATGCAGAAAAGTTATCCATGTGAGGTGTGCGGACACTCCCTCAAAACGAAAGCAAGTTTAACAGTGCATTTAAGGAAGCATGGAGGTAAGTTTGTGCTGGCTTTTGAACATGAAGCAGGTATAACTGGCCATTTTTTTAGAGCCTAAATCGTACTTATGCACCACATGCGGGAAAACTTATTCGACGAAAGCTGTGCTGGATAATCACCAGAAACTTCATACTGGTGAGATGAATTTCAGGTGTGATATTTGCACCAGACGATTTCGATTCATCAGCACATTGAAGACCCACATGTTGGTAAGTATTTCTCATTCTCATTTCGAATTTCTAGTGATAATCAGCGGCTTTTTTCAGCTTCACAGTGGCGAAAAACCTCAGAAATGTCCAATTTGTCACAAACAATTCCGCCAGCATGCCCACTTGAAGACCCATATTAGGGGCCAACATAACGACGAGCGTCCATTTCAATGCACATATTGCTCGAAAACGTTCAAGCACAAGTAAGCACAGTAAGCCATTTTTTTTTTAACAATTCTATCAACGTTTGTTGCAGTTGTAACTTAATAGTGCATACGCGGATACACACCGGCGAAACTCCATATCATTGTGACCTGTGCAAAAAAGGCTTTTACGACTCCAGTAGCATGAAAAAGCATCGAAAAAACCACTTTGGAAAAATTCAGAGGCGCGGCTGGGAGAAGGTCGTAGTTGCAGGTCCAGTAGATGGTATTTGAGGCTTTATTTACAAATTACAGTTGGTGTAGTTTTCTGCAGGCGCGAATGTTTAAATCCTAAATCCCCAATCAAATGCATGTTGAGAAATATTTGCAAATACATAAAAAGAAACCCCTAATATGAATATTGTGGAAAGATTAAATGGTAAAAGAACAAACCACGCTCTTGATAAGTCATGTAATTCACTACTTGATATATGCCTCTATCATTATGGAAAATATTACACTAATTATTAGAATATCAATACAGAATATCAGATACATGACTAGTACACATCAAAATATACTCATTACTATAAAACTATACCTCTCATCTGATCATTTCGGTTCGCACTAGTAGAATTTCCTTTGATTATTATAATAGATAGGTAAAAAAAATAGCACCGTCCTATATACAAAACTTCGATGTAAGTGGAATACTGTTCAACCAATAACGATAACGGGGCACGCTAATATTAATTTAAAAAACTTTGATTGTTGTCGATATGCATATTTCATTATTGGTTTTACTGTATTTTGATTGAAAGAAAAATCTGCTCGATAAGGATCATATACAAAACGCTCTATTAATACTCGGAATGGGCATGATCAAAGTGTATTGAGTGATAGATCAAGTTCTTTGAGCGCGAAAGTCGAATATAAGCATTGCACTTTGATACAACAGTGATCATCAACCAGTGTCGAAAATTGGCTGAATTGGCACTAGAATTGTAAATGCTAGATCTACCTTTCTAAGATTATGTAGACTTCATTCTTTACTTTCGAACAATCGTTATATCTACTGCAATTCACTTGGAAGAGAGAGAGTTGGAACAGAAAATTATTTTAAATAATCTCAATCTATCACAAAAAGTATTAAAATATCATATAGTGAAATATTAAGAAATTTGTAGTGATCCATAAAAATGTATCGCAAATTTCCATCATACAAAGCACTTTACCTCAGATATTCAGTAACTTGCAGCAGGTTAATCAATACTGATGGAAATTTTATAGGCATGGTTGTTCACAATACACAGTTCATACATACAGTCCATTCACAAGACAATCTACACTTGATTTGAAAGAAAACGTATTTCACTATTCTATTTTACCTTAGCATCAATTCACTTAGTTGCTAGAGACGACTTTGTTCCTAATTGTATTTTTACAGTCTATGTTGAGTAAAGGTTTCCTACCCTTAGGAAACATTCATTTGTCTTCCTCATTGTCTTTGGGCAGCTTGGGATGGGAGTAATTCTCTGGAGGCGTCAAAATATCAGAAATTGCAGCAATTAGATCTTTGGACCTTGTCGGCCGTTCCAAACTCCCTATAAATGAAAAAKGTATCAGTTTAAAACGAAATTGTATATACTTTCCTGRCATGCATTTTTRMRTKCCAAATCAAATKSATKCCWRGGYTTMARKCATKYA